GAGAGAGGAAGGCTTCGTTCGTTCGCGGTTGAATCCGCGAATGAAGGAGCGGGTCGGATGTTAACGCAGATTGTCTCGGCTCGATCGAGCGTACCTTTTTGGGCGCCGTGATAGTCAGTACACCATCCGAAGAGAGGGTCGAGGTGATGTTGACGAGGTCGTGAGACGGAGGCAGGACGTATCTGCGTACGAAGTGTCTGCTGATGTAGCCGTGCTCGTCCTGCTTCTCCTCGTGCTTGGCCTCAACAACAACGTGATTGTCGATAGTCTTCACCGTGATCTCGTCCGGTGAGAATTGTTGCACGTCCAGTATCACCTGCGGATCAGAGGACGCGGCCCCACAGAGAGGCCCCGGGTACTCGTTACTTAGCTGCTCTGGATCCTTTCTCGTCCATCACCGAGGACAGAAGTCTCACATTTTTCCGTGAGCCATTGTAAACAGCCGCCATGTATCCGTAAAGCGAAAGTTAAGTATCGATCACTCGTGAACGAGCTTACTCCAAAAATAATGGTCGATTTTTGAACTATTAGACCCGCCATCCCTTTTTTTTTTTTTTGCATCGCGCGGATTAGCGTTCCTTTTACTTTCGCGTTTCGTTCCTGCTCTGACTACCAGAATTTTCATTTTGAAGAAGATCTCGAACGCCGCCGTGCATATTCTAGCGCATATTCTAAATCGCATATTCTAAAAATACCGTACGCGTTAGACGCGCTATCTCACGTACAATAGTTCCGGCTTACCATCTGGAGCAAGCGCTTCGTTCGATCTCACATTCGTCCTTTCACGCTTCCACATTCAAAGAGCAACCGATCAGGCACGGTTGTTGGAGTTTCCGCGACAAGCGAGGAAAATGACAATTCGGCCAACGTTTTAGATCCTATCCTGACCATCAAATAAGCGCGTTGTAAAATCATTATTTTTTCCTCGTCTTGACTCTCTCTCATATATGTAATCCTTCGTGTTTCTTTAGATTGTCGCGTGTTATGTTACGAAAACAAATCGGGAAAATGTAGTTGTCGGACGCACCTACTTGTGTGGAGATTGTTCTTTTTTTTGGATAAGGAAAAAAAACGAGCATACATACAAGTAGGTGAATCTTCTTTATCGTAGCGAGTGCGCGGTCTCGCGGTTTCGCGGGCTGGCTTTGCGGCCAACCGCTTGCTTCGGCGAGGAAGATAAAAAAATTGCCAGGTACACACATTAAAAAAAAATAAATTTTAAAAAAACAAAAAAAAATAAAGCAGGGAGTAAGAGAGAGAAAGAGAGAGAGAGGAAATAAATAATACTCTGTCTTAGAACGAGGAAGCTTTAACAACCGACAGTAGTGAGGTAAGCGTATTCGAGTGCCTCTGGGTGATCTTATGTGATCCTGGAGCTCGGTGAAAGACGAACGCGAAGAGATTAGGATCATTGGCTGTGCATTTTGAAAATAGTACCAAAAAAAAAGAATAGAAGAGAGGAGAAAGAAGTTCGCGGAGCGATCGCTCCGCGAATGGTCGACTCGAGTGCTGCGCGCAGAGCGACATATTTTGTACAAATAAAAAGATAAGAAGAAACGAGTTTCGTATAAGAAAGAAATAAAGCACAAAGTCACTTTGTAAGACTCTATTGTTGTGGGTAATTCAAAAAGCATTTATTTTTGTATAATTATAAACGGGGAATCGGGACCCGTGAGTCCCGTTCGCGACATACCCTTTTTGTTGGGGGGTGCGCTTGTCGGGACGACACGACTTTCGGTTCTTCTATTCGAACAAGACTGACTAAGCACGACGCGATACATTCACTTTTTCGGTTGCATATTTTATTCCGTGGCTGCTGCGCGTGATTTCTCGCGTGCGACTCTGAACGAAAAATCACCAGACGTTACAAGAACGGAATTAGAAATAGTTACCTCGGACCTGCGGTAAACAGCGAGCGCGATTGCGCGAGGAAAAAAATATTGCAGAAAGAGAAGGAAAATAACACAAAAGAGAAAAATACATACACATTCACACATACATTTACAATAAGATTAAATAAGGGGGAGGTAAAACGAAAACTGTGGTAAAACTGTGATTTCATAGAGATTTTGAAACTGATGTGACTAAACCGGAGATTATAGAGCGTCCTTCTTTCGTGATACACATATCTCTAGATGATTTTCGGTAAACGAAAAAAACTAGAAAAAATAGAATAAAATCCGCTAAAACGAAAACAATAATAATAATAATTACAACATCTCGATTTGTACCAAGAATTTGAAGTAAATAGGGCGATTAAATGAACTACCACATGCTGTAGGAAGAGCTAGATTCTTTTTGACACAAAATTATAGTAAAAGAAGGACAACGCCGTGGATGTTTTTCTGACAAATATTAAATTACTTGAATCTTTGTGGGGAAGAGAAAAATAAAAAAAAAAGAAAGACAAAATTTGCAAAAAAAAAAAAGGAAAAGTCGTTTCTCCGATCCAATTTATTCGCTCTCCCTCCCCCAGAAAGGGTACAAAAACACGCTCTCTAATCCCCAAAAATAATTCCGGTCAAACACCCGTTTTATCGGAACTATTCTGACCCAATTTGCTCTCCTGGTCGACTTCGCGATCGCGCGATTATGAAAGCGTAATTATAATGCGTAAAAGCATAATGTATGCGTGTATGACGATACACTGAGAAAAATTTGGTCCAATGGATGATCATTAATCGATGTTCGAATCATAACTTAATGATGTTACTTTCGTTGATTCATATCCACTCATTGATACAACTGAACTCATTGATGTAATCATATATTCATTTTTTTCAATGAATTCTAATAATAGTTTTATATCCTAAGAGTTTATTGAACTAATTCATTAATTGAAGAAATATTTTATTGTATTTACGTATAGTTTTGGTTCAGTGTATAGAGACAGCGACAGCTGCAGCAGATGCAGTCATCAGTTTTTCGGGCCTTCTGGTGTTCCTGATTCTTTCTCGTTCGTTGCTTTTAACCGCCCCTATCAAGCGTTAAGTTTCACCCGTCCCTTGACTCCCTATATTTAGTTTCATCCCCTTGTAGGGATTTCTTTTATTCTTTTTAACGGCCGCGCGGCTGATTTATCCCCTTCAAAAGTAACGTTCGAATCCGTTTAAAGATAGTCTCCATTTCAGTCTCTTTCTTTAACGCCTTTTTCTTCTCCCAGTTGTTTCTTCCATTTCTTCCCTTTTCTCCTCTCCTGATATTTTCCCTTTTTATTTTTTTCTTACGAATGCGCCCTTTCGTCCTTCTCTCTCACATCACTCCCACCATCTTCGATCATTTATCTCCTGCGACTTTTCTATATTTCGAAATCTAATTACAATTCGCTACTCGTTTTTTTGCTAGAAGATAACGTAAAAGAAAGTATCTTCCCCTATAATATACTTATTATAATTGTACTTTTTTTTTCATAGGATATTGTTCGAGACTCTTTGTATTCGGCACAAAATTTGTTACGCGTCCAATACAAATCGCGCTCGATCTACAAATATTAAAATAAGGAGTAAAGAACCGCTAAAGAATTTAAGTCGTGTCTTAGCCTAAGTTGTACCACACATAAGCGAACACATTCCGTTGCATCATCGAAACTTTCTCGAGGAAATGTAATTGTAGCGCATTGAGACAGAGCGATCTCGAATTCATGAATTTAGAACTGTCAGGTGAATCGTGTTATATTCGTAATAAAATACGAATGTAATTTGATGAACCGCAGACGAATTCGTGAGTTTAGGAGCTTTTAGGCAAGTTGCATATTTGTATTTGATGTAAAAATTTATTATAAAAAAAATGTTACTGCTCAGAACGAAAATAAGTAGTTGCACAGAATAAACCAGTTATATTCCACTCGCGGTGTATTACTGAACTTTTTCAGAGAGATAAAATAAATAACCACATTACATACAGAGTATAACCGATTGCTTTTCGATTGCTTTTACAAATTTGAATTAGGCGTGTCATAATTTGCTCTCGCGATCAATAAATACGTATCTGCAGCTTGCATACATAAAATTGAAACTATTAAGTAACAGCGACTGATTGCAACAAATGTAAATTAATCGATATTACTGTCGAGTTACTAAGTTACGCTAGATGAGAAGTATGACAGCTGAATTATCTCGAAGGTAGTGACCTCACGGACGTTTTATCCAGTGCGAAATCAAAAGTATAATATCTATCGACGAAAAGTGAAATATCTAACGAACAAAAGGTGAAATATCTATATATCATGATTAAAGAGAAAACCGTAATCTTTATCCACATTTAAATTTTTCTGAAAGAGAGGAAGAAAGAAAAATAGGAGTACATTGTGTAAATTCTATCTAAATCAATCTAACTTCATACTCTCGGACATGATAGCAGGGCAATTTGATTGATTCTTGGTTTTTGACTTGTCTAGTATACGTTTTAGGATAACTGCAGCGTAAGATAATCGGTATATTCCGCAGCGCGTATTAATCCTAAGCATTAATCGCGTGCATATCATCCCGAATCGCGAGTCTTGTGAGAATTTTTCTGATATTTCTGCATAAAGCCGTATTTCTTTGATCGCTCCGTGTCAGAAATACAACGGCTATAATTTTTCCGTAATCTGAGAAAGCCAGTATGTCCAGCCAGCTGTAGACAGTTCCGCAGCGTTACAAAGTTATACTAAAAATACGCGAAAAACCGTTTAAAAATAACACGTTGCATCATACTCGCGTTCGGGACTTTCCGTGATAATTTTAACGCGCGTTGCTTCTTGTTTACGCTTCTTGTCGTATCACGAAATCAGACCAACCAAGCGCACATTTGGCAGGAAGATATTACGAATAATTTCTCCATTTTATGTCATCTTGAGGAGACCTTCTTCCAAAAACTTATAAGAGCATACGGTATAAAAACGGCTTGCAAAAGTTATAAGCAATTTAGTATAACGACGATTCTTCTAAGACGAAATTAACGGTACGATTTGAATTGCAGATCAATCGAGAAGTGATAAGAGTTCTATCGTCCCCATTTGCGTTATCGATTATTGCTGTTGAGTTGATTATATTACGTAAGACAGACATTAAATTTTCTCTATAAACTTCTATTAATTCTAAATCTTTTCCGGCCAATTCCTATCTTTTGCAGGATCCTGCCAGCTTTATGCAGGATCCTGTGAAAGAAGGAATTGGACCGTTTACACAGCAGTACTTCCGCCCTATAATATATCTTAAGTAAGCTTTTAACACTTTTCCGAAAAAAACGATTCTATGAAGAAAAAATTTGATCAAAATCATTTAACGTCTCACGAATTAAATATTCCAGCTATACATAAGTTATATATAACTTGCAAAGTAAAATTCATTTTGACAAAAAGATACTTCAAGTCAACAAATCCGTCTGATCGCAAGATTTGCGCGCAACTAGACTAAACCGATAAATGCAAGGAAATACTCATCAACATCAAAGTGACTAAAAATAACGACAAGTGAAATACTGGCTAAAGAAAAATCCTTGTAAAGTTTATAATAAGACCATTTTCGTCATGAAAAAGATGAATCACATTTGATGACAAAATAACAGAAATTACCTTTATAGTGTAACGTCACGTAACATGGATGAGCACGATCGCAAAAAAGAGGACGTACTTTCTGGCCATCTGATCTATATAAAAGATTTCGTACAACATAGTCTACCGTTCGATCTGTCGATGCAATAAATAGAATAAATTTCTTATGCTACCTAACAAACGGGAACAAATTTACGCAAACATAGAGACACTTAAAAACATTAGTTCTAATATCGAAGAAAGCAAAAACAATTTTGCAATTTCCTGTAATAAAACTGCACATTCAAATGGAAAAAATGAAGCATGAAATTACAATTTCATTTTTTGATAAGATATTTGAATATAAATTACTAATAACATTTCAACCAAGTAAAACCATTTTTAACTAAAATTCCTTAAAAAAATGTAAAATCAGTAAAATCACTTGAAGATTGAAATATTTGCAAAGAAATTAAAATAAAAACATCAAGTTTTCCAACATTTTAAAGCTCCATTGCAAGCGACGTACAGCTATAGATTAAAAAAACTTTATCTTATTTGCAAAGATTTGCACGTTTCGACTCAATTCAAAATAAAGATATACAAAAAGAAAAAAAGATTTACAAATTCACTTTCGATTTGATCGCGCGCTATCCTGTTTATTGCTTGATATTTTAAAGTCAATCTGCAAATACTAACCTGGAAATTATCATTGTCCAACTGGATCGTGCTGGTTCCGCTCGAGTTTTGACGTGTCACGTTCCCCCATGGTCGATAGTACCTATTCCCGAAGCGCGTGGATGGCCGATCAAGGCCAAGTCCGGAGAGACTCGAGATGAGATCATCTCGATGGAGGCCGATGCCAAAGTGCTGGTCCAATAGCCGTGAAACGGGACGATCGAAGTCGTCCCACCAATTGCGGAAAACGAGAGGCACAATGGACATCTACAAAGTAGAGATCTTGAATGTGTATTGAAGATACTCGTGTACTCGTGTATTTCAGTACCCGTGTATTATTCGTATATATTAAAAATTACACGGATTAAAACACGGATATATTAATTATACGAGTAACACGTGTGTTTAAATACACATGAAAAATATTGTCACTACAATAAGGGACGGAAGCGTATCCGTAACAGTCAAAAAAAGAAACTAAAAAATCCAAAAAAAAAAAAGAAGAAAAGAAAATTTTCAAGGTGTGGAAAAGAATATAGATGGCTAAAACCAAAAGCGAATGACAACTGAAATAAGAACGAAACAAATATTATCATATAATAATTATAACCTACACTTACATAACTCGTAAGTTCTATTGTAAGTTAGACTGAATAAGGAGGTACTCGTCAGTTCTTCGTTAGTATTATTGATCGGGCGATATTTAAGGATTAACGTTAAGCCGTATAATTAATCTCTCGGAATAAATCTTCTCAAATCTATTTTACTATTAACATACGAGCACACATACATGCACGCACGTATCTAGGATATACAAACTTACCACTCTCTTGAATCAACAATATTGCAGTTACGAAAGACTTATCGAAATCTAATGACGAATTTGATTAAACGCACTAGTGCACAGTTGGTGCACATTAAAACCGTCGTATATAAATTATAACGCGTAAAAATATGTATATAAATAAACATAAAAATAGGATAAATCGTGATCCAATACACTTTATTGTGCTGATAGGTAAAATACGTATTTTATAATTCAAAATATTTGCATTTCATTTTTACACTCAAATTAAATCAGTTTTAACAACGGTTTTAATATCCAATGCGCACTAGTGCATCCCGTCGAATTCGTCATAAGTCATACACATTTATAATATATAAAGCTGAGCATGTATACGGAAAACTTTTATTTAAAAAAAAAAAACAGTTTTTGCAAGACAATTGTATTTTGTATTTTGTATTTCAGCGGAGCACATGAAAATGCTTTGTATTTTATATTTCATGGAAGTATGTAAAAGTATTTTTTATCTTGCATTTCAGTATTAATAATGAAAGATTGAAAATATTTTATATTTTGTATTTTAAATAATTGACAATTAATCTTATTATTTAATTTACGAAATGCATACAATGTTCAATCTTTCCATTTCAAATACAAAGTACATAATATTTTTATATGCACCGTTAAAATACAAAATATAAAATATATTACATATATTTATAAATATAAAAAATATATATTATATTTTATATTTTGTATTTTAGGGGTGCACAGATAAATATTATGTACTTTTTATTTAAAATGGAAAAATTGGTAATTTTATGTATTTCGTAAATTAAATAATAACTATTTAATATAAAATATAAAAAATATTGTAACACACTTTTATTACAAAAATTATGTTTTAAATAAAAGTAACATAAAATAATATGGCTCGTGGCTCATCTAATTAATTTGGAATAAATAAAAGTATTCATATATCAGATATATGTTCAGCCTTATATAAAGGACACAATATAAGCGAATCTCACATCTTTTTGACTCGTTAAGAGTTGCTTATACGAAGGTCTCAGATAACTCGTTCAATCGTCTAACTATAATACGACTAATCAATAGTTTTTAGGGGAATGTAAGAGTTTATCAATCGAGTCCATTAATTCACACTGTGAATTCACATTGTGCTGTAGACCTAAAAACTCCCCTTTGTTAAAATTTAATGTGTACGAGAAGCTTTTTTTCACTCACACTTGAATTCTTCCATTCGACGTACTGAACAAATCTGTACGTAAAGAAAAATCTTAATGCGTCTTTACATAACGTGGATGAGGCGATTTTGATTACGACTATAATCACAACTTCTCTCGCGCGACGATAGAGAAACTTTACGCATAAGTAAATTCAAAGATAATATCTCGGTAAATAACATCACTTGACTCTTGCTCTCAGATATCGGTGAAACTATTGATGGTTATACAAATGAATTCGTTATACAAACCAACTCAACACTCGAACAGAAAACAATATATTTCATAAAGTTTAGGCTAGTCGTAAGTCATAAGCGGCAGCGGGGTACCGTAAGAAACTAGTCCGTTCGTATAAGATGAAGCATCTTAAACGAAAGCTCAATCTCGGGCCGACAGACCGTCGTAAATTGAGTATTGACCAACTTAAGCGATGGAACAACGATAGCGCAGGATCAATCAGATAGCGCAAGGACTAGTTTAGAGTTACACGCTCTCCATAATTGCAAAGCCTTGTACCTCATACGCGTTTGAAACGCACAATTTACCAAATGCAATACCGACAATTAAAGATCAGGACATCGCTAGTGACTCACGGTAAAATTCCTTACTCTTCCCTTTTTCCAGAATTAAGGACATGCGTTTTCAACGACCGTTTTTGTCGGTAGTTGAATAAATGAGTGCAAGGACATAAGGACCGTTAGCTTAAGATTATCGATTTCGCACAAAATATTTTGTACTGATAAGCTTACATTTGGATCGAGAAAATGCTTACATGTATAAGGCAAATAATTAATGTTAACGTAATCTTAAGATTATCGATAAATCACAATCTCTTTACAGGAGTTAAACTTGCAGCCGCGATATAAAGTAATTAATAAGCTATAAGTGAGGACGCAAAGTAATGGGGAAATCCCAGAGTTCACACAAAAAAATTACAACGCGGAAATACCGTACTTTATGTGGAACGTAGGCTCCGATTAATTACTCGTAGACCATCAGACGATTCTGGTATCGCCCGAGTCGACTTCTGATTCGACGCGAATCGCGGGTTCATCTTAAATAGCCGCGATGCGGAGGAGGTGCTCTCCTACGATGTCACGTGACGTTTCACTGACCATCCTGTCCAAGAATACATCGACTTTGAATACAGGGATTTTGGTGGAAATTAACTTTGCCGTTTTTTCACACGGCGACATCTCGAACATTCTTGCTACTTTGTGAAACTACGATCTTTACGATAGGAATTCTCACCGGTTCGTCATCCCGCGATTGCTGCGAGGTATAGCGCCTTACGAACCGATTTTGGGGCTGATAACGTGTTGACGGTGTTGTGTAAAAAAAATCAGATTTGATACGATTGAATTTCTCTGTGAAAACGACGCCGTCTGATTATTCGAGCAAACATCATCGATTTGTTATCGAGCCTTCCTTTGCACAACGTTTGAACGCTGCCTCTGTCGAAATCGTGGAATGGCGTAGGTAATAGTAGGCTATATAATGCACTTCGATAAATCCATTTATTACTTTAGACAGTCGTGTTTAAAAACGGAAATTCTAAGAGTATATTAAAACGAGTAATTTCGTTATAAATAATCGCGACGTGACGTTACATATATCTTCTATATATTATAACAATTTAAAAAACTTAAGAATCATCTCGTTATTCGCAATACACCAAAGGAAACTATAATCAAGAGTTAAGAGCTGAGCAAACCACTAGAAATAGAGAAATCGACCGAAATAGAAACAGCGCATCTTCGATCAGTCGTGATGAAAATTGAATGCTGGTTTATTCAGAAATCGCAACAAATATCAAGGACACATTACTTGCTACGAATTAAAAATCATATTCACAACCTTAAAGGAAGTCACTTTGACCCCACGGAGGAATATTAAATCGATAAGAGTTATCAAATGTTTTTAGGAGAGTGCTAAGAGCGCATTCTTAATACGGGCTACGCCTACACGCGTGTTATTTTAGGATATTGGATTATACGCATTTTTCTTAGAATACATTTCCTTCGATTTGCTTCTTTCTCGCTCAAAATATACTTAAGAAAAGTTTTGATTAACGCTGGTGTTAGGCTTTTGCGCGACATAAATTTTCATTGAGCCGTCATGGCATCTTGAGTTTTTTTTGGATTTAATCATTTTCGCCACGATGATCGTGCGAGCACGATTTTTCTTTGCACAAAAGATAGGTCATAATCTGATCAGTTTTTGCATCGCGCGGAGATAATTTTAGCAACAATGCATCATATTCGATAAAAACGGCGATTCACCGGATAACTTGAATCTCTTAAGTTTCCCTTATTAAGGGGGTGTGGTACATTAGATAATATAAACAGTAATATAAAATAATAACAAAAAATGACGTGCACGTCACCCAAAAAAAGAGAAAGCTTAGATATATATGTGTATCACTATATATGTAATGTCAAAAATAACATTTAGTAATAGATAAAGGAATGGTTATATGTCAATGAATCTGTAAGAGAGTATCATATTAATATTAAGCTAGGCTACTTCTTTACTTCGCGAATTCCGTTTACTAACGTCACAGGCACTGCTAATGAAGTAATCTCGAAATAGATTCCAATTCATATTTCGTCTAAAAATACGCTACTGATTATCAACGATGAGCAACACATTAAGAAATTTAAAACAGTCTTATTATTATAGTTATTTCTGCAAAATTAATAAATTTATAATTTAAAAAAAAGAGGATTTATCTGTGATGTTTAAACTGGACGATAACCATTATCGAAATATCTCAGTGACCAAAAGCGAAAAGTAGTTATAGGACTTCAAAATAAATGGTTATCGATGGTAAATTCCGATTTTCATTAAAAGTAATTTTTTTTAAATTTGATTAAAAGACATATCTTGAAATGGAAAAACTCAAGCAAATTTTCAACTTTAGACGTACTATGGTACGTTCGTGCTACTCGTATAAAGTACATAATTTAGTATTAAGCGTAATTTCTAGATGTTCCGATGAATCATACTATGTGGCATTATAATAGTAACAATAAGCTAATTGACTGTAAGGTAATTAAGTTATTTTATGTTCGCCAACCGTGTGTTAGCATTGTTGGCGGACATCTTCGATATTGAGCCTGCTATTAACAGTTTATTATCGATAAAGAGCAAGAAGCTTACCTTAAGAGGACTCTTATCTTTATCTTCACTTTTACTCCGAAATATTATTGTAAAGTATTCCGTGTGTTTACGTGTCATACTTCGAATAAACTCTAAAAATGACTTAATGCTCTCTGATTGTCTTTAGAAAGAAAAAAGCTAAATGTCTCGTTGATACTGGATAAAACGATCAGGATCGTTCATGCGTTCGATACAGTGCATATATATTGTAAGCAAATGTCTACATACGTAAGAATCTTTACGATGAATGTGACTTAGTAACCATTCAGGTTGATACTTGTAACTCGATGGATTATTGATATTACTATATTTAATCTTTTTTGGTTTGTACATGCATAAATGTAATTATCGTTCTTAGATGCTGCAACATTATGTCAGGACAGATTGAAAAAGCGAGTGCATGTTTTCTGTATTAACAAAAAAAACGAGAAATATTTGTAATTTGCATAACTGAAATTATATAGGTTCTATTGATAAAAACTGTGTAAAATTTCATCTGGATACGGCTTATACTTTATATCTGGTTTTATTTAATTCTGTACTTATGCAGCGCATAGAAATAGGCCTTACTCTATTTTTGGACTGAAAGAAACAATAAAGTGAAATCGGGCGTACATAATATGAGTGTTTTCTTTTGACTTATATCAGCCCTTCCAAATGATAGCTTTAATACCGTTAAAAATTAATAACAAAATTAGGCAAGGAAGATTCAATTCTGGCTTTAAGAAATAAAAAACGATATCTAATACAATGTTCTTATTTATTTGATGGTCTAAGATGTACAATAACCAGCATGCGGAAGCACACAGCAAAGACTTTGTTTGAAATAACATAGTCTTCGGAGCTACATACACAAAGGTATTTTTTTTATTATACTCTATAAGTATCTTATTAATGTGTTTAACACATGTTTAAAATAATAATACGGCGAATGTCCTTGTGGGAAATGAAGTTATATATAAATAATGAAAATGCTAGTGGCACGCGAAACGGCAAATTATATGTATTTTCTTAAAATCGATTCGAGAAGACACGACATCGTCGCTCTATCCTTAAATACATAAATACTATACATGTCTTTACGATAGTCGCAGCATAAATATTACACAACGAGGCATAAAATGAGACGCAAAACGAGACACGCTTTTCAAGATAATCGCAATATTTGCATCTCAGGATGTTGTTGTAGTTTCTCGACATCTTGTAAAGTAGATATACCTTGTTCCTGTAAAACATAATTTAAAACAAAATATATTAAATTTAGAACTTAAACATATCCAGATTATGATATTTAAATAACTGGATGTTTTTTCTGTCTTCAAATTTTGAAATAATATTAATATGAAATGAATGAACATTAAAAACATATATTTAAATGAACATTGTTATATAACTGCACAGTGATCTCATATTAATTATCTTGAAGTAGTTAAATTACGAATTAAATTAAAAAAACTTACATTATATTCTTTCCATTTCTCGTAATTGTGTCGCATATAGCCCACTATTTCTGGCATGTCGATAAACACTATGAAAATAACAAATGGCAAAAATAATAATTCGAATATTAATATTTAATGAGAAGACTAAAGTAATGAAGAGAACGAACCATCCCAAGCCTCGATCATATCGTTAATAATATAATCAACGAAACCGATTTGCGATTTCGGTATCGAACACGTCATTCTATCGAACATTGGCATTACGACTGGCATTTTTAACTTTTTTTCCTCATCGGTCTGAAATTTACCAATAAATATTTAACGTAGAAGTAGTAAATTATCTTTCCCGTATGAACAATTTTAGTTATTAATTATTAAAATGCTCACCTGATTAAAATATTCCTCCGCGATTCGTCTCGCCCATTCGACGCAACATTTCAATGGCCGCGTTGGATTAGATACGTCCGCGCATTTGATCATCATTCTTTTAACTAGTATTACATTGTCTGGTTGTAGTACCACAGTCATGTCCAGAGAATCTGAATATGTCTATGAAAAATTTTTTTGAATTTAAATTTTCATTCATTATATATTTTGAACACATCTTAGAACAATTTAAAATATTTAATAAACTTATATAAAAATTATAATCTCATCTATATTAAATGTATCTATGTTAAACATTTTTTAAATCATTTTTTAAATATTGCGAAACTAATTTTTATTTGTTTATGTTTGGATAATAAGAATATGAAGAAGTATATTGTGTTGAAGAGTGTAATTAGATCTTTTATATTATTGATAATCCATACATATAACTATCAATTAAGAAGAATAAACAGGATAATGCATTACAAACTTTAATCTATACTAGAAAATTAATATTGATAATTAAGTGACAGTTAAATTTTATATAAAATGATATTACTAACGATTTTAACGTGCAAATAATAATATACGGTACCTCTTGACCGTCGCCAATTCTTGCACTGCAAACATTCATAAACTTCGCCAGGTGCTCAAAGTGCTTCGTCATTTCGGTCGCCAGAATCATGTCAATGACATTTTGTCGTAACAATTTGTACGCATCTCGCTCCATATTCTAAAGCAGACATTCAATCCAGTCTTACAACTTCAGCATAGTATACACGTTCGCCTTTAAATTACCGATGCAGAAAACAAAAAACTTACTTTAAAAATATTCACACTATCGTCAGACAATGATAGTTTAAATGTTAAAGCTGCATGATGCGATTCGAGAACCGATAAATCATTGTAGAGTATTGCTAAACGACTATTGGCGTTGCAAAGAAATTGACTGGAAATTAATTCAAAATTCAATATCAGGTTATCATATGACAAGAGTTTAGATATTTTTGAACGATATCGATTAAATTTTTATTAAATATTTTTACTTTAAAGATAATTAAAAAATTCTGTCAAGTTTTCTTTCTAATATTTCGTAATTAAATTAATAAAAATCTATAAATATGTATGATAATTTAAGTATATCATTAAAAAGGCTACATTTTTGTTTAACATATCTTGTTTTATTTTTCAATATTGAAAGTAAACCATCTCACCTGGACCGTCCAGGATGATCAATATCGTGTGCAGCGGCGGCTATTAGAGCAGCAATCTCATCTAAAGGTTCTAAAATTTCTTTGAGCCTCTTTGATTGCATAAATCTCGCAGTGGCTTGCAAGACATCGGCCGCGTGCGTTGAGTTGTGATAGCTATTCTCCGCGTTGTAATTATGTTCAATAATGGCTAGCCAGTTCTGTAACGTTCTCTCATCGCAATGTAATGTAGCGGGCACTTGATATAAATTCATAATTGTCAATCCCAAGAAAACGAGCGGTCTATAACAAATCAAAACGCAAACAATTTAAATAACAAACGTAATGCGTCTTCATATGAAAAAAATGTAGGACGTCTGTTTTAAATTAATACGTTAATTATGGAACTGTTTGTTACAAAACATATCGCGTAAAATATGATGTTGATAGTTCACGTGACCCACCTTCTCTCTGTCAGTACTTCAAGCTTAAATATCTCGAAGTCCCAGTCGAGACTTTTGTCCAGTACCTCCGTAATTTCTTGTGGCCCCCGGAAATTTTTTACCTGCACGCGCGAATTGGCCGGACCGGTGATAGCCTTGATAGTGGACAATCTCGCAGAATCCGAGGACGACCTTCTGGATTCCCACGCTGTGCGCGGAGACTGTTAATCAAATAACGACAAGATATATCCGTGAAGAGAAAACAAATCTTATCTATAAATACGTGATTTATGTGTGTGTTGTAAGTTTTTATTTTTTTCATACAAAACAAAGAACGCCAAAATTCTTACGGCAAGTAATGCGCCAACAAGATCCGTAGCAACTGGATCGCTACACATTGCTCTATCTTCCTTAAGATGCGGTACGTAGAGTTCCGTCGTCTTTAGGATATCGATTGCCTATGAAAGACGTAGAAGCAAACAACATATATTTAATTGGACAGGCATGACTACAGAACGATACAAGCATCTCGATTAATCACGTACTTTATCGATCTGCGCTGCTGTTTCCGGATTAGTTGTATCCGTGACCGCATTCGAAAGTAACGTAATGACTTTAGTGATAGGAGCTTCCAGTTGCAAGGTATGCAATTTTTGCAAACTGGACCGTCTACGACCTGTTACAAAAACATAATCTTTTTCATACTAAGGAATCGTATATTAAATTTTACATTAAATTAGATTACAATAATGAGAATAACAGGTTGAGTGTTTAAAGATAACTATGTAATTTAATATTTCGAAATTATATACCATATCAACGGAATACATAATTTCAATCTGTTAAAAATATATCAGTAATTAATTAGAACAATAGACACATAAAGCCTTTGCGTTAACTGGGCTATAACAGATGTGCCCCAGTTTTGTGCTATTAAATTTCTTGACATGTTTACAACGACAATATGTAGGGTTGATATTGGCGCGATAACTCTTTAACGTAAAAATACGTGCTGCAAAGTGTATCGTAAAATTGCCGGTGACCTAATTCGCGCTTTTCGATGAATTTATTTTTATACCAAAGCATATAAACTGAGAAGACAAAATATTTTTTATATATTGAGAAGGTTTTCTTATTATATTCATATAGCCCATTAATATCAGCGATAATATTTATTTGATATTGTAGAAATACCTTTATCTTCGCTTATACCAGATCTGACATCCGAGGACTTTCGCGCGTTCGTCATATTTGTTTTAAGAGGAGGATGCAATGGGCTGCTAATTGGACTTATTGGCGCTGAATTTTCCGATAAATACGTAGTATCGTATACATATACATAATGACTTGGTTTTCTAAAGATAAATATAATAATCGATAAAGTTATAATAGAATGGCTATAAAATAATAAACAGAGTATATTTTAATAATAATGGCATATAATAAGAAAGGTTGCTTTGTTTATTGATAATTGGAAATTGTTAAACATACGAAAAATTTTATCGAATTAATACAAAGAAAATTTTATTAAAAAAATATATTAATTTTTTTAGAGATTATTATATCAAGGAAACATACTTTAATGTAATACAGAACGGAATTATCCTGCAATTGATCGTAATCATCTGATTATTTTTTCTCTTGCAATTCATATTCCCTTCGAATTCCCGGCCTTTACTCAGTTGCTGCTCCATGAGAGGAAAATTTTCGTAATATACTATCTCCGAGAGATTTCTTCCTATCATTTCTTCTACCTTATACCCTAACAATTTTTCGCTGACTTTATTTAGAAACTAAAAGCAATGTAAAATATATACGGTCTATAAATTAAAAAATATAATATATGTATAATAAATAATGCATATCTATGTGAGTAAAATATACAATTTTTTTTTATTTCAGTGAAAAATGGCTGTATAAAGATTACAAATACATTATTTGCGATACCTGTACAATGTTCTTATCATTGGTCACATGCACCATATCACGGCACCTGTCCAGTGCCAAATATAATGCATGCGCTGCTGCTAGTTGAGTTTTCGGCAATAATGAGCTAGTGTATATTCCTACTAATTCGTTTATTAATATACCTTCATGAGAACATTCCATCAATGCCTAAAATATAAGTGAAACTAAATAAAGAATCCAACAGAAAACTTATCTATAAGCTTCGTTTATGTACTCTTAATGTGTTTTTATGTTTAAATAAGCACTCACTCTGTTAAAGCCTATTTCTAGCAAGTTTAATGCTACAATATGGTCTTTCTCATCAAGCATGAAATATCTAGAAGATACGTGAAATTCAAATGTTAAAATAAAAGTGAAAGTAAATTAAATTTTTTAAATCGACAGACTTACGATTTTTTCACGAGCGCTATAATGACAGAATTGTGATAAACCGGACTTGACCTAATTGCTCTGAAATTTAATATTTTTAACATTTCAAGTAGATATGTAAAAAGAATGCGTACATGTTTAAATAAATTATCACAGCGTGAAGATTGTATATGTATAATAGAAAATTTTCTAGATAAATTCATATTTTAAACAAAAATCTGTTTTGCAAATGGATTCATTAGATTTTATTTAAACGACCTGCCATACCTACAAATAGCATCACCCTCGGCCGCATGATGTCCTCTATGATCGATAATCACTAATTCGTGAGCACGATTTTGAAAAAGTTCTAATGCTTTTTCCGCATCTTTTGCCACCGATACGCTCCACCCCAATCTTCTCGCGGTACTAGCAAGTATGTCCATTTGTTGGTCATCTTTGCTAAAGACTAATAATATCTGCGCAATGAAGAAGTTTGACAGAAGTATGCAAAACAGAACTAATGCATTAGTAGTGCTAAAAATATTCCATAAGGAAAAGACGTTTTATTGTAATTTGATCAAACGTTGCGATACTTACTTTTACAATACTAGGAACGTTGGTTGTCAATAAATAATTACTAAGATCTTGAGGCCCTTTCTGTAAGCAGAAGAACAAAGTAATTCGCGAAGCTGAATAAAATAAATTTGTGATTAGAGAAATTTATCAGTTCTTCTTTTTTTATAATTAATGCATGTTTGCCATGAGTAATGCCTTTATTTGACCAAATCTAATCAGAGACTTAATATTAATGCATCGATATCAGTGCCGTTACATACCGGCTCCTCTTTATCTAGATATATCGATTCAAGTAGTTTGTAAATTTTCGCTCGACGACGCGCACGTGGAGATACTTCCACATTTTTTACGGTTCTATGATACGGAATTTGGTCTTTCATTTGTGACAAATTAATAGCTGGATTATTCTCTAACCTGTGTATATCAGAGACCTGATAATAACAACGAAGTTAGCAATTTTATGTACATACATTTCAAATTGATAAAGATCGATCTTAAAAATAATTACCACTGCAAATTATTGCAAACTCTTGGCTGTTTCAGTTAGAAGCTATACGCACATACGTATGTAATACATTTACTACGTATTGGAGGTACATCGGAAAATATTTTGCGACTTAAGAAAAAGCAGTAAATTTATTACTTCTCAATACTCCTCAGAAAACTGAAATTATAGATGTATAAAAATTATACCAGAAATAACGATTAATAATAATTTCGTACCCTAATATACATATGCCACACTAGGTCAAGCCACTTGAATCTTATTTTTAGTGCATCCACCTCTTTTACATAAGTCTGCACGCTATACTGAAAATGCTACTACATCATAATTACGATTCTCCTTTTTGTAAAATTACTGTCACTATGTATATAGTTTTGTCGCATAGACAAAGCAAACGTCTATTCATTTTTCAATACACTTTAGGCCTGATTGCACCAACGTGATTTCGATTTTAAGCGAAACTTAAACTGTCTCTGTCTCCCTTTTGGCTTTAAAACGAGATAGATAGAGTTTTAAGTCTCGCTTAAAATCAAAAAGTGTTGGTGCAACCGGGCCTTAGTGTGAGAATCGTAAAAACAAAATAGCAGTCATTATATATAGTGTTTCTATAATAAGATAATTAGGACAATAATGTAAACCAAACTTTTGATTGGCTGCCGAAATCCGCCATATGTAATAAGTATTTCATATTTTAATTCTAATATTTAACTATATCATGTCACTATGAGAATCATAAACACATGATGACGTTCAAAAAGGGGATTATTGTGACATTGATCATCGATTAATAGCCAACAAGATCGATATATTCACTTGATTCATTAGAAATAGAAATTTACAATAAGGCGTCCACATATCAGAGTTTCTGTAATAATAGTATATTTTGTAAAGAAGCCGGATAAAAATTTTTATCCTACGACAAAAACATATATAAATTAGCAACAAGTTTTATCGTGCCCTTTAAATAATGTATGCATATACATAGCGTAACAATATTTTAAAATATCACATGTTCTAAAAAAATTATTAGTTCTATTTTCTAAAAATTTTTTATGCATTCTTAATAATATTAAATTTATGATATTCAATCTTAATAAAATTTGTTCAGTTAAATTCATTACAAATACTGTAAATTTGTGAAATAAATTAAATTTTGCCGCATTAACAATTACTGATGACTTACAGATATCATTTGAGTCATCATAAATGATTGCTTGCAAATATTGTCGTGATCAAATATGGAATTAGAGAGAGAAATTTATGGTCAGTTGAGAACATCGCATACTCGATTTCTTTTGCACCCTAAAAAGACTACTGCTAATTAAAAAAAAGGAAACTGTTAGAACGAAACGTACGTAGAGTTTATATTCGCTTTTTTAATTGTTCGACGAACATAAACCATAGAAAGGGTAGAAAAGTTTGTTTACGTTCAGGTAGGGAAAGTTCTGCGACTAAGAAAAAAGCCTCTTGCAACAGCGGTTATCCTGCTATCGATTCGTTGCGAGTCACTTCGCAATATTAATCAACATCTCCTATAGAAAAAGTAACGGTGAATGAACTGAAATGACAACTATTATTATTTTACATTCATTTTTGTTTAAAAATAAAAGAAACTGTACAACAATAAGACAAAAATTCTACACGGAAGCGGTGCAAAAATTCGTTTCATCAACAGGTTGATAAACATAAACAAAAACTGCTCGTTTAGCGTTTAACTTAGCGCAACGTGCTCACTTTTAGCCTATACAGTATCAAACATTATAACTTTTCACGAAACACTGCTCCCACCGATAATTCAATCAGAATAATTGCTGTGCGTGACAACTCCGACAATTGCGTTTCGTTCAGCTCTGAATTATCGCTCGAGCTATAGAGAGTACATAAGAATACGAGCACGTTCGAGAGACAACGATTAACCAAGGGGAACAGCAGCGAAGTGAATAAGACAAAAGAGTGACATCGGGTTCGAACACGTTCCAAACTTTTAATTAACTAGACATTTCTTCCAGTCGCACAAACAAACTATATAACTCCCGCATTCGACGCTTTAAAGATCGGAAATTGCTATTGTTCGTCGGGAAATAATGGAAAGTTTATTATGGGGTAACTTTACACTCTTCAAGGGCTCCGAGCTGACGCGATGCGTCGTGCAATCGATCTTCCCGCCTTAATTTTACTCAAAGATGTGTAGTGCGTAACCAATTAGCACCTTTCTCTTACCTGACATTTTCTGGATAGCCTGAAATGCGCTAGACAATCGTTTACTGCATATCCGCATACTTTACATACATACTAAGCGAGCCAACTTGACAATCCCGACTGTCGTTCTTCACCTGGCCACTCGTGCTCGTCTAGAGACAGTCTATAGACAGTCTATAGACCTGTCTATAGTCGTTCCCGAGCGATGAGATCTTGACTCGTCGAGAAGAAGCGGCCAAATGAGAATTCGTCTTCACCGCGATTGCGCGCCGCGAATCAATTATTCAGCCGGCGTTTATACCCGCGAGGTTGAAGAGCGTCCGAACAATTTTCATATTTAATCGACCATCGGGGAACGGATGACTATCAAGCCGATCGAGCATTACCCTGTCGTTACCCCCGCGCGAAAACTTTGTAAACGTTGCGCGAATTATTGAAAGGGTTGGTCTCGGTGGGAAGCCGCGTCAGCGATACGCAGAAAAACGCACGTATATTTAGAATCTCTGTCCGCGAAGCTTTTATCGCGGGGAGAAGGGGTTTTGATTGCGGGTTTCTCGACGAAGTCCTGTGAGAACGGAGAGGGCTGACGCCGAGAATTATTCTTCGCTAGATTATTTCTCCGCTTTTTTTTCTTTATCTCTTTTTTTTTTCTTTTCAATGCTTTCCCTTAACGATTGAATATTCCCTGCGAGCGGGATTTGCGCTGTTTCTCCCTTTTCCAGCTATTTATGCCTACACTTCCGTATGACTTTTTTTTGTAAACTTTCCTTTTGCATGATAGTTTTCATTTTCTGTCTTCTCTCTTCTCATTAAGTATTCTTTACAAAACGTGGACAATTGCGCTGATACTTTATAATATTCTTTGAACGTAATATTATACATAATTTTCAAATAATAATATTGTAAAAGTAAATTTATTTTTAATTTTTTGTATGCTTTTTCACGTAATATTGTAAAAGCTAAAAAAGAGTCTGGAAGATAACAAAGTAGAGATATAGATACAAAAAAGAGATACATTTTTTAATTGAAAATATAGCAAATAAAACTAACATTTCAATGGAATATATTAAATAAATATTTATAGCGAGTTATATGATGTTGATTATATATTGTACTTATTAAATGTATAACTTTGCTTTGTCATTTTTAATGTAATTTAATATTGAGTTTTTATATATGTGAAGACAATGTTGACAGTATATTTGCTGACATTTTTATTATTAAGCTGCTAAGTAATTAACATTGGCTTAAAATATGAATGATATCACTGAAATTATAAAAAAATCGGTAAACAATCGACGCAGTATATCGAAAACCAATCTCTTATCCATATTTAAAAATGTAAAGCGGAATAATGCCTAGGCAATTCTTATCTTTGATTACGAATGGGAAAGAGTCTAGATAGCAAGCTTCTGATTAATAGAAATATGATAACGCGTGCCTACGTCACAAGCCACGTCACTTATCATCAAGTGCATCGTCTTTATGTGATATTAGTCTCTGTACATTTAACGGGAAATAAAATGTCGTTGTATCTTATGTTGTATCGCTTGATCAATTGTAGAGAATAGGGAATCCGCGCGCGCAAAGTTTATTATATTAATATAATTAAAAATTAACTGAATAGAGAGTTCTATATGATTTGAAGAATTATTTATTAAAAATAATGTAACGGAACTTTTGTATGTCGTAAACATACCGATTATTTGTAGAATAGTACATCGGAAAATAATATAAATAATTTACGGGTTAATTTCTTAATGTTTCGTCATGTAATTTTATATAAAACAGAAAAATAACATTAGAAAAATTTATACCATTAGATAATAACGAAAAAGTAACTTACGACAGTCAAGTAATCGCCATTTTCATCGTGCATGCTATCTTCGAAGGGTGTTTTTTCATTCTTTTCAGCCACAATGTCAAACGCATCCGTCTTACCTGTAATAATCGCATCGAATATTTAATTCAATTATAATCAAACTCGAAACTCGAACTGATATTCTTTCGCACAATCAAACATTCTTAGCAACAGGTAGTCGCTAAGCGTGACCATAGCATCGTAATTGAAGATCTATCGTCACTAAAGCCACATGTAATAAAGCTGATACTCACTATTCACGTACATTGATAGACGTATGTACCTATCGGACATTCTCCTAACCACGCTCAATAAATCAATTAATGTATTTTAGTTGTTAATGCATCAATAATTATAATAACGAATCTTGTTAAAGGTACATTCACCTATTATATAGGAGTGTCTTATTGGATTTATGGGTCAGAGTAGCATTTATTGCAATTAAAAGTCAACTGAATTTAATTGAGAAGATGGATTAATCATTGCTTCAATTTTGTAACGATTGTTCTACTTACAGGACGTACTTATTACGAAATAATTACGTGATGCGTGCAGTACAATGTATTTGATGGAATCAAGATGGAGAGCTTAAAAGATTGGATAGGATCATTTACGCACCGAATAAATGATCTGGAAATAATTCATCCTCCAAGCTGTCTTCGTCTTCGCTTGGAAAGAAATACTCATTCGGCGGCGATGCCATATGAATTATGTTTTCAGCCTTGCAATCATTGAGTTAAGCGAAGCTACGTGATTTCGCACTGTTTAAAACTATATTTCTTTGCGTCTGCTTTCATTACACTGACAGTGTTATGTATTATTACACATTATTATCTACATTAAACATTCGTCAAAGAATTTCTTGTTTAAAAAGTTCACTAAAATCCGCAATAATAAGACAAATTTTTACATTTTTACAGCTGAATTTAACTTTTTAATTATTTAATTTTCAGTAGATTTGTTATGAATTAGAGACATTTTTAATTATATTATTATTAAAAACAGTATATTAGTTCTTCTTATAAAATATAAAATTGAAAATATATGGCATTAATTTTATACAAATTATTTTCCATATCAAAATTGATATTTTAAAATTAATATTTATAAATACTTCTATATTTTTTTGTTTATCATCAATGCACTATGTGTTTCTCTTCATTTACAAAGGAGAAATCATTTTATTCGAATAAAAATATAGTAAAATTTGTTAATTTCAGATATATAATATGTTAAAAAACGTTAAATTTACTAAATTTACATATTTAGACAAAAAAAATTTGTTTTCGTAATTTATAAATAGCACAAAAAGATTAAGTGCTTGAAATATAAGTGCAAATATATTGTATGTTATAATTCCAAAATATTACAAACGTATTTAAATGGAAATGTGAGACATTTAAAAAATATTTATTATACGTTAAATTAGCATATATACTAATGACAATCTTAATTAATGCAAGTAATCAAAATATCATAATTTTTTGAAATGTTAAATCAATTGATTTAACGTAGATTTAAATAAGCTGCTCAATAGATTATTTTCGTTCCAAAGTTCAAGATTATCCAAAAATAATCGCACAATTTTTTAATATGAATCATTAAAAAAATTTTTTGTTAAAAGTAATATAAAAATTGTATCTAATATATATCCATTTTTTTAACATAGTGAAGATAAAATTAAAGCTGTTTTTATTAGCTAAATCTTTTTAAAATTTTGTTAATTTTTTGCAGCAAGCTATTGTCAAATAAGAAATATTATCAAAAATTTCACATTAAAAAAAATTTTAACTTTAATCGCTTTTATAATAAATAAAAAAGTTAATACATTCTTCTAGCATTTAGTTTATCTCATCACACTACATTGTTTAAATATGTTTAAAAATGTTTGAAAATTAATCAAAATTCGCTCATACATAACACATGCACTTGAAACAGTTTCGTGAGATTCCACAATTAACAACACTGAAGTACAAATTGCTCCGACGTTGTTTGCAGGTGTTAAAATCGTGAGCAAATTAAAATTGCGACGATAAAAATCGTCATACACATGTGCCGAACGATGCGTCGTTTACGGCCCAAAGAGAGCGACTGACCGAGAGTACCGAATCGACCAAGTTAAAATTCTACTTGAGAGTGACTGGCCCCAGAAGAGCAACGCGATAGCGTCGTCGGGGAGATCAGAGATACTGCAGGTCCATTTAACGCGTACACAGACAAAAATATGCATCGCGTAAAATTAAATTTCAGAAAAAGTAGAACAAAATTTCCCAGAGTATATATAAATAAGAATTTTAGAAATAAAACGCCACTCAACAGAAGAGTCATCACTATTATGCATAAAAAACTACAGTATACACAGAGGCGATAAATTATAAAAATAAAAAGATTGAACATCTTTGATGTTAAATCAACAAAACAAAATATCACTAAATTATTTAAAAGGTATGCATATAAATATAGCCATGGTCACACGCACTTAAAAAAAAAAAATAAAATCATTGATTTGACTAGGTAAATAAAATTTATATATAGATATATATAATATATTCTGCTGTATTAACATAATTCTACTAAATATTTAAATAATAATCATCTTGTTTCAGTCAGAACGAATACGTTACCATAGACATTTAAATGAATTCATTGTTAACAATCTTCGATCTGATAAGATAATTCAAACTACTTGTACTTTGCTTACGTGTCCACAAGAGTGCAAAAACATCGTAGATGTTATCGATGTTAGCTAAACGACTTATACAGGAGTTGTGTTTACCAATTTTATACAGAACATTAATAAAATTAATCTAATTAATTAATTAGAGAGAGAGAGAGAGAGAGAGAGAGAGAGAGAGAGAGAGAGAGAGAGAGAGAGAGAATATGCGTATGTAACCATTGATGCTAATAACAATTGTTTACAAGTTCAGATTATATAAAATGTAATTGACAATCAAATAATGTCTTCTACTGTTTTATATAGATAGCTTTACATAACAATTAATCTAATAATTATAATTAACTAACGTTGCGCTACTTTTTGATCGTCCTCTTCGGCGTTAAAATGAGACTTGTATGTGTTGAACGCGAGATAGAGACTGTCTTCGTCCCTGTCGGGTTCTGTTGTATCTGTAAATAATATCTACGTGTAAATACTTATTGCTAGTAAGCTAAATCAACTGATGTCTTAAAACATTTAATAAGTTCTCTAGAAAATTGATCAAAGTACCCGACATGCATACATATATGTATGATAGAAATATTGCAGAACGTATTTATCGGTATCTGACTTATAATATTAATATTCGATCTGAATGTATCTATATAAATTTGTGCTTATGTGGCTATGGAATATTTAATAGCAAATCTCTGCATTATAATATTATTATAATGATATTAAAAAAAGAACGGATGGAACACCTTGTTTATATAATTTCTGCAAAATATGCACGCTCACGACTGAGGCTGTAGCGATTTAAAATAATACCTAATAATTCCTTCTCATAAAAATTGCAGAAAGAAATGATAGCCGTTATTTGTAGATAAGTACGTCCTATTAAATATCTAATGATAAAAGCGATTTGAATGTATAGTAATCATATGATGGCTCTCACAATCACAAAATATTAAAAAAAAAATAGATAAAATTTCTAGTTTCGTATATTGTTATTATAAGTTTAGAAAACGAAGCGAAATTGGAAGAAGAAATTTGTTGAAGAGTTAAACAAATTATTATTGAAAGATTATTGAATGGATTATTGAAAGACAATCAATGCATTTAAAGAATTACAGATAAGCGTAGAATTGGTACAAATGATAAAATTACAAAAGTCCTTTTGAAAGTGTTTGAGAACGACTAACTTTCGTCCTAGAATCAATCCTTGAGAACGAAATATTATACGACCGCGGTTTGCATGACATTGCGTCGCGCAGACTCCTAAATCGAAAAACTAGAAACGCGTTGCTACAAGTTGCTCCCTTTCGTACATCTGATTAATTCATGTCTCGAACGATGACTCCAGTCGACACACGCGCGGCGTGGTCAGTCGTAGACTAGGTCAAGGAGAATGACTGTTACCTGAAGTCCACCTTCCCCGCTCCTCCTTCCCTTCTCTTTCATGAAAGGCATCCATCAGACGGACGCACAGTAATGCGATTTCGATTGATTATTCAACTTTTGTTAACGTTAAACCATTATGATCTTTATGATTAGAAAAAGTCGGAGAAAAACATAAAAATTCATTCAAACAATGAAATCTCGTTTGACCGTAAAAATGTCGAAATAATAGTCTCCTTCAATTACAATGGAACTTTTTATTATTGTGTAATGTCTGACTATGCTACACTCGGTAATTTGGAAAAGGTAACGTAAGAATTGATGATTGATTATTGTAAATATCAAACAATTATGTACACATCTTTTAACCAAAAGATAGTTTTAATATAAATGCTCTAAAAGATTCATATATAAAATATTAATGTTAAGAAATAATAAATAAAAAATAAAATAGATATAAGTAAATAGCTATTTTCTATGACAGCTACAAGTTTATGTTTTATTAGTTGGAAAAGAGAGTATTTAATAATATATAATAAGGTTTGTAAATGTAATCACGTTTATGTATATGGTGTAAATTTCTTTTGCCATAATTATTGCGTGAATATAATGCTTATATAAAACTTATATAATTGACATAATTATAAGAGTGTCAACAATACTATAAATTATTAGCATAATGTTATAAAAAGCACTTGCATTGAAAATTCAAAAAGTTTTTTTTTTCGCTATCAATTGAAGCATTTTATTACTTACTTTTACTATCTATTGAAGCGTCAAAATATGTTTATTCGAGATATAGATTAAATTAATGTAATACAGAAGAACAGAAATAGTCATCTGAAAAGTAAATTCTTGAGGAGTGTAATGTTGCTTCTCGCAGCCGTAAACAGGTTATACTGAACAAACACAAAGTAAGAACGTAATCATCCAGAAGTCGACCTTCGAGAGAAGATTACTATGCTTCGACGTTTGAAATTCCCCAGTCGTATATTATATGTATCCAAGAGCCGAATATGTGCAAACTTGATTACATTTTGCAATCGAAAGGAAGCACTTAAGCTTCTCATCAAAAAGATTTAGTTATAGAAACGGATATACGTTTGTAAATTTTTTCCAACTGTTATAAATATTAAAATAATATAATTAATACAGATTGCGATCAATATATTATAGTACTTATATCTCTTGTATTATTGATTTTAAAATTTTTAAATAATTGATTAATATGAAATATAATTTTTCAGCCTATTCTATCGTTATGTTTTTTCGTAAAAAATTGTATAACCAAACATATTTTCTGTTTAATTTACGATTGCATGAAGTGTGAAGTAAATTATAAATGGATCTATCGTTACAATAAATTTCCAAAAATTATATATAGCTTTGCATTGTTACCTATATAAATCATAATGTAAATATCTGTCCAACTGTCAACATCTTTTATAAATTCTGATTTCCAAATTTAAGCTTACACAAATACGTAACGATTTATTTTTTGGTAAAATTGAAACCGATTAAAACAAAAATATATTAGAAGAAAAGGAGTAACGTACCGTTTGTAACGAGAGAACTGCTAGTTTCCGACGATATACTCTTCTCCTGCTCGACTTTACCTCTCATGCACTTCAGTATACTAATCTTGCATCCCATTCTTAAGACGAGCTCTCAGTTCGCGATGGGTCTCCTTGTCATTTCTGACATTTTTGGAAATTTCGGAAAGCATCCGGCCAGATTCTGAATCGTCAATGACAGCCGCGACAAGTATTGTTAGGTTACCTTTCATCGAAGGCGATTGGTAGAAGCAAAATCTCCTCTTTTTCATTCAGAAAAAAATAAGATTGCTGAGAATTTAGTATTATTTAAATGAAACGTGTGCTTACCGTGCACGCGTGTGTGTAAAAATGCACGCTCATGCACCATATCAATTTGCTTATCTCGAGACCGAAGGAAACAGTCCTCTGCGCACTGATTTTGCATAACCCAAACATTGATTGTGCGAATACTATTTTACATTAATTAACGTACGTAAAGGATTGCGCTAAATAAAACCGGGACTAAACCACTTTAGAACGATATGCTAAATTGCTAAATTACTCGATTAAATGATGAGTACCGGTAAAATTTATCTCGCATCAATCGGAATTTTTTTTAATCACTTGGAATTCTTCACTTTCAAACAGATTCAATAAACATTCGTAACGTTCACAATGCGTTACAGTTGTTAACTATTCATTAAAAAGCCAGACAAAACGTTTGCTTTCGTCGAGACGAACAGAAATTTCGCGAAAACTCTGTAACCGTTAACGATTAAGTCGGCATTGAACGCGCGTCAAGACCGAGGCGAAGATTTCGCGTGTGCGAGGTCATACGTCAGTGCAATTTTCCCAGTCAACTTTATCTTATCTTCCACCGAAAGTGTCTACATGTAATTCAAAAGTTCCGCGACGCATCTCAAATAGCTGTATCACTTGGCAGCCACAATCCTCGGCATGCGCAATTAGAGACATTCTGCACGAGATAGCCGTTCACGTAATTCGTCCGATTACGCGTTGTGTGGGCATGGAACGGGCAAATAGTGTTGTGTGCATAATTACCGGAGGCACTGTTTTCATAGTGATACAAGTCTGCAGTTTCTATACCAAGATACGGACATTTAAAGTTTAAAGTTAAAGAAACAGATAAGATTCTAAGATAATAATCTTTAACTAAAATAAAAGTTTTTATTTTTTTTTTGCTATCTTGAAATGTGTTATGTTTACTTAAAAAAAGAGAAAAATATAAAGTATACTTATTAAATTAAAAATAACGTTTGTAGCTACTTTTTTAAATAAGAAGGTAACTCAAGTAATTTTTTATCTTAAATTTAATTTATATGTATAATATATAAGGTAGATTATATATACTTATACATATTAATAAATTTAATTATTAAATATCCGTGTAACAGCATTTATAGTAATTATTACTATTAAGCATGTACATATTAATTATTAATATTAAATTTTGCTTATCGTCTTACGACACATTTACTTGTGTAATTACATTTAAAAATAATTATTCAAAAATATACAATAACTCCTGCAGAATTAAAAATAAGACGGATGCGACTTATGTCGGCTTGAAATATCAAGATAACGAGTAAGGTGCACACGTTTAACAATCGATTTAGTGAATAAAAATACGAGTACACTTGAATTATTCGATAAAGAAGAAATAAAGCTGTTAATTACCCTCGGAAATAAACAATGATAACAGGCCAGTACGTTTGTACAAGCATGTACGTACATTTACTGAGTGTGCCTATCACATGTTTTTTAACACGATGTGTCAATCGTAGGTCGTCTAAATGAATCTCTGCTCTCTAGAAGAGGCGTACATCCGATAAGATCAACTTTGTAGTCTCGTTAAACCGCAGTGCAGAGAAATTTTTTTCTTCGAAACGCTCTTGTGCCTCGAGCTGAAGTAGATAGATGCTGTGTAAGTAGATATGGGATACTTGGTCAGACACGGCTCCGTGCTAACTCCCGACGCGTATTCGGCATATTCAAACGGCGTTCATTTCGGCGACTGACACGAAGGTGGGACAGAGGTGAAAACTTTTCGTTGAAGACTTTTGTGATGTCACGTAACGATTGCGATGGCGACGATTTCACAGTAAGCGAACAGTAGGAATCGCGGGTGCTCCTTTGTCAGGCGACACGGCGCTTCGAGGTGTGCGCGAGATTTTAATGAAGATAGAATCGGGTGTAGGCAGCACAATGGCCTCAGTCTCACTGGTTAAATTGTACGACTTCTCGAGGACGTTTTTGAAATCTGCATATTTCATTCGTTCAAAGTCTTCTTGTCCGTCGTCATGTATCAATCTCACGTTTTTACTTAAAATAATGCAACAGATATTTGAGCAAATTTATAAACATATACGAAGATATAGTATATCCACGCGTGTTTCAATGATAAGCGGTAATTTTAAACTAGTAATACTCACGGACAATAGAGGGAGGGATAAGTAGAATTTGCGAGTAGCAAATACAAGATGTCGAGGAATTATCACTGTAAATTTAATCGCTTAACACAGCGTAGTTTTTTATAAGGCGACTATTTAGGGCCGTTTTAGAATTTCCGTGACGTAAGTTATCTTTAATACGCAAGAGCTTATCGTACATTTGTATATCTGTTTTATTTCTTATCCGCTGTTTTTTAATGTGATGCTTCTTGTATTTTAACGCTAATTCTCAATTTCTACTCGCAGCTTAAAACAAGTAAATTCGAGTGCATTCGCAAGTACGGTTGAGATTGTTTTGTATAATAGCAATTTTATCATGTATATTATTCACATTCTACGTGATACTATTCTTTTATCTCATAAACATGTTCTTCTTATGGAGTTTAAGAAAAAATTTTTATGTTCATGTGTACAATAATTTTTGACATCCAATATATTTCTCTAATATAGATTTATCTCTTATTTCTTAATAATCTGAATTTTACTCTAATGCACAATTTTTTTTACATTATTAATAGAAAATAATTGATTAAAATCTTCTATAATAACTAATTGATATCTTATTATTTTAAAATATATATACTTAAATTATTCATGTCACATTCTCAGTATTTCTGCATGCGCGTATTATTCATTTTTACAAATAATTCTTCTTCTCTCTAACTCTATTTTATTATAAATTTCTTATCATAAATATGTGATATATATGTATATGAACATATTTCAATAATTTCATTTATCTTATCTACTGTTGCACTGTTCATGTGAGAGTGTCTTAATACTATAATACTTTATAATAGTAAATGTAGTTTTAATTTTTATTTTTATTACTCAAATTAAGTCGCATTTTTCTGCAAAAAGCATTGCTGAAATTTATGAAGAAACAATTGTCAATGTAAGATATAACTTGAGAATCTGCTGATAGTCAAACCATGCTATATATATAATAGTAAGCATTCAAATGTTCGATACTTTTATATCGATTTCTTTGTCCGTTTAGAACGCGTGATCCGTCATCCAAATTTCATTTTGGTAAAAATTGTAAGTCCTTAAGGAATAAAATTTGCAATCAAGTAAAATTATACGTGACATTATGCAAAATTGCGAAGGAAAAAGTTCTAATGAATCATTTGAGTGTACATACAAGGTTTGTTATTTCAAAATTTATTCAAATGTAAAACCATTAGCGTGCGATCTAACTATTTTAATTATATTTTGGAAATATTATTAAATAAAAAAATTCACGTTAGTACTTATAAAAAATAAAATAATTAAGATTTTTAATTTCTAATAATTTATTTGTGGGTTTAATAAGTAGAACAAAGACTGAGTTATTTTTATTTAATAATCTCTTGTCAATTATTATAATTTTATTTTTTGAAAAAATGTAATTTCTAAGACATATTTTTAATGAAGGTGCTATGTCGCGAGAAAAATGTGAAACCTTTGTCAACGATACAAATATATCTGCAAAAGAACTGCTTGCGATTTTGTGTCGATTATATAAATTTGAAAGACTGGTCGCCACTATTGGATAGTATAATGGAAAATCGAAGTCTGTCCGAAATTTGTATATATAGTCAACGTCTTCATAAAAAGATTAAAGAGAAAATAGACACAGAAGAGAAACTTATGAAATTATGGTAATTGAAAATATGTTGAAAATTTTTTAGATTTGTTACAAATTTAGTCTTTTTAATATGGAGATTAAACGACTTTAGTAATTACACGGAAACATGTTTAATCATTTTTTGATTTGTCTAAAAATATTATTTAAATCATTTCCATATGATTCTTATGTGATTCTTGATATATATTTATAAAAAATTATTTTTAATTTCTGATTTTCTAAAAATCAAGTCATTTACAATCACATTTTTAAACCTTTTATGTAAATATTGTATTTAAAATGCCAATTAAGATTGTGACTAAAAGACAGATAATACTTATATAAAAAATGTTTTATACAAATTTTATACACTTAAAAGCAACATAAACCTTTTATATTAAAAAAATTAATATAGTGAAAATTAAATCATATCTTGTTTTCAATAAATTTAACATTTTAAAAACAATCATTGTTTTAAAATAATATATTTGAAAAATAAAATTAAATACTGTGATTATTTGTTTTTCTTTTCGGATATTATTCGCAGTAAGTTTAAGTTTGTAGGTGACGTCGTGGGAAAGGGACAAACAAAGGGAGAAGTAAAATATATGACAATGACAAAAAACGATGATATATAAACTCGCAAATAGTAAAATGGCAAATGGATTGGCATTCTGCTCGCATATTCAGGAGATGCGCACGAAAGGATCGACGACAGCCAGTATTATACACGAATAGTCTTCTACAATGCTTCGTTCATTCCGTCGCAGTTTGTCTAAAGAATTCGTTGATGATTACCAGCCTTACACTTGATGGTATCCCTTTGGCACCCAAGTATCTAAGGATTCTTGCTGATGGCCTGGCAAATAATCATAATCTGCGAAGCTTATCATTGGCCAGATGTCGAATAGGTGATATGGGTTCGTTAAAATTTGTACAATATTTTAATTTTGCAAACAACCGATATAAATCAGACATTATATATTTCAAGTATATTTTTCTCTTACTTTTATAAATTTCAATTGATATAAAACAAAAATGAAGATAATATTTGTGTCTTTCTTACAGGATGTTATATGTTGTTGGAAAGTTTGCAGTGTAATTCAAATCTTCGTGTTCTGAATCTATCGTCATGCTGTCTCACTACTAGAAGCGCTATGTGTCTGTCATTTTTCTTTAAAAAGAGAAAAGCAGATTTATTGAAAAATGTTTGGAAGGAATCAACATTATCTCGTGATGTGCGTACAACGGTATGTATGAAAGAAAAATTATTTTAATTAAGACATCACGTTTGTAATTTTAATTGTTTAATTGTTCAACACATTTTTGCATTTGAATTTCAGGAAGAAGGATTGCAAGTACTAATACTTGATAGAAATTATCGATTTAGCGATATTGGCTTAAAGCAGTTGATACGTATGTTGAAAAACGACTTTTGGCTCAAGACATTATGTCTACGATGTTGTGGAATTACTCAACGTGGAGGAGAAATTGTGTTGGAACTTCTACAAACAAATAGCGTACTTACGCAGATTGATCTTAGGGATAATGAAGTGTCGACCGACATATTGCAAATTATTCGCAAGTTCCTAAAGAAAAGGAAAAGCAAAGGGGAAAGAATACCAATGAAGAAAAGATTGCTGAGCCACAAACATATCCTTGTACAAGATATGGTTTCCAATGACAGATTTTGTCAGTCTGAATCAAAAGAGAACAGATTTCTTAAAACACAAACTGTAAGTTGTTCAAATTTAATATCGATTAGAATCTATTATCTAAAGTATTCTTTATCTATAATCTATTATCTAAAGTAAATTATATTTATAAAATTATACTATATTATACATTCGATTTATATAACATACTTTTCTGTTTTAGTATACTCAAATGAAAATGCAAAAAGATAGTATTTTACAAATGCAAAAAACCAGACATGTATTTAAGTTAAAAAGAAAAAGTGATAACAAATATAGATTGCACACTGCAGTAAAAAAAAGTCATATCAAATGGTCTAAAGCGGACGAATTAAAAAATCGCTTATCTCTCATGATTGAACACAATCAGAACTTAATAAGGGATTTAGAAACGAGCACCAGTTTTCTATTGGAGGAAAGAGATCGCCGTTTGAATGCCGAGGAAGCATATCATAAAATACAACCCCGACTGAAGAATCTCAAGAATAAAATTGCTATGCAAAATTCTATTCAGTCAAATATGCGTTACGAAAATCAAGTTTACGCAAATCTACAAAACGTATTCAATGACTTAAAAATATCTACAAACGGAAAAATATTAAGAGTGGATGACAAAAGTCTTAGCAAAGAAGCTAACGAGAACAAAATTAAATTTAATATTTGTTACAAAAATTAACCATTTAAAATGACATTGTTCAATTCTTTTCATAAGACTTAATTGTTCTAAATAAATAAACACGGTACTGATAATTTTAAAACTTTATATCTTGTGTAATTGTGTTATATTGTATAATTTAATGTCGAATTTAAATAAGAGTAAAAATTGTATGAATAAATAAATCAATTACCTTAATTATGTATGTTTCTTATCCGTACGCTTTTCTAGTATTATTTATATTTATTCTAGTGCATATATATTTATGTTTATGATTTATATATTATATAATAATTATAATTATAGTGTGTATATATATAATTTTATGTTTATTACATGTTATTTATTATATGCTAGAATTCTAATATATTTTGTGGATCAATTAACTCTGCGGCAATTTTACTATCTTCCTTTGTTTTATATTTATAGAAATATATATTACATAAAAATCTTCTCTCTAAAATAGGTACAAGTAAGGGCATCTATATTAGTGAACGAAGAACGCGAGCTCCGTTAGTCGGATCAATAGCCCGTACCGAGTAGTAGATACATTATCTTCACAATGTTTCCTACGATTGGTGTTTCCTACGGTTGATTCAAACGTACTTATAGTCGGCAATATACCATTGTATTGTTATTACCATCAAAGAAAGTCGATTTCTGTATATAGTTCTAGAGGACTAAATTACAAAAGATACAAAATCGACGCTTGGTATACTCTTAGAGTTATTGATTTTAGAGAAATAGTACCTAAAATTTATGTTCTGCGAGAGAAATAGAAACTTTAGCAGAAAAGATTTATTAAATATATATTGTATAATATCTTATACAGTATTTGTTACAAATATAAATTTATTTGCTTTGTATATATATAAATAAAAGAACAAACAGAGATCTATTACATAAAATAAAAACATTTTCCTTTTGTTTTCGAAAATTATAAGTTTATTAAAAAATATATTTCTTTTATTTTTTAATTCTTCTAACGAGAACTATATAATAAAACTATTTAATGTATTTTAATTACTTTATTAATGTATTAAATACTTTTATTAATTATTTTGTAAAAAATAAATTAAAATATACAATGTTTTTATTATATAATAAAAAAATTACTGGTAGTTTCAATTTATTAGACAACTGTACCTTAGTACTAAATTTTGTTCATCTATTTCTCTTTTCTTTTAAAATCTGAATTTTCTTTTATTACATAATTTTTTTGCAATACATTATTCTTATTAAATATATAATATTAATATATGTGTATGTATACAATACTATAAATGTTCAGACAACAAATAATTTTAAAGCTTATAAATAGTACAGTTGCATTATTCAATGTACGTTATTTACTCCTATTTAATTTTATCAAAGATTATTGTAAATATTTTTTTTTTAAAACAATGTCGAATTTTATCAAAAAGATTCACTGAGCAAACTTTGGTATATCTAATTTTAATATTAGCTTGCCTCTGTAATTACTACGATTAAACAAGATTCTCAGTTCCTTCGTGATTTATCTTGGTAAGATAATAAGGTTCTCTGACTTAACATTCTTCAACTACTTCGTCGGCTACTTTTCCCTCATCATCTCCCCGCGCGATCGCATAAAATTACTCCTTCCTTTCTGATTATTTTGGCACTGGCGAACAAACGGTGGAAACTTTTCGGCCCCACTGACGCAGGCTTATGCTAATGACAGAAATTCTAATCGCAGATTATAATTGTTAATTCGTTAAATGATCCACAACTTTTGTGTATTTCCATTTTCCTGCGTAATTCCATTTAAAACTCGTTGACTTATGTCCGGTAATAGTGTTCCTTCTTTTTCGTATTAGTCAAAAATTGTATTTTATTCTGTAATATAATATCTTCAACTTATTATCATTAAAATAAAAAAAATAATTTAAATTTTTTGCACTATTATATAATAGACTTTTAATTTTAATTTCAATATTTTATATTATTTGCAAAAAATGTATAATTAAAAATTATATATTAATTATTTGTAAAAATAAAAAAGCAGTACAAGTTTGCAAAATAAGTAATGCATTTTGTTCTATTATATTTTTAAAAATTTTATAGCTAATTATATTTATTTAATGATTTAACTACACACAAAAAATTTTAAATTTCTGATTCTTATTCTTCGGACTTAAAATTCTTGATTTTAAAAAAATCGTAATTTGCACATAGAATTAATATTTTTTTCTCAGATGATAATTACATTCTTTTAATATTTTATAAATTTTTTGGAAGATAATAAAATTTGATTATTTCAAATAAATATGGCACATTTGGAGAGAAGGAATCTGGAGGATATATATTTTGAAAAGAAAACAGTATAAAAAGCAGTTTTGTGAAGGACGCGCTCGCGGATAAATTCCATCTGTCGAATGTTCGTCGGCTGTGCATGCCAGCACTCGTCGCACAGCCAGCTGCAATTAATCCATTTTATAGATGCTGACGATGTAAATGAAGTTTCCGGTCGAGTGTCCGGAGCGGGAAAAAAGTGGATGGAGAAAGCTGCGCTGATGCGGTGGAAAAGGGAAGCGAAACCGGCCCGTTCGATGCTCGTAAAAAAGACCGTGGCTTTAACCGCCCGGTTGTAAAACCCTCTGGAAGCAATTAATAATAACCGCCCTTCGCAGTTCTCGCCCGAACGATAAAGCGAGCTTCTCCGCCTTTTCGGCGCAATCGTACCGCAATGAGAGCATAAACGCTGCAAAAGATGTTCGTATCAACTTACTTCATTCATTGTAATCAACTGTTATTCTTTTTGAATATATATTTAAATATATTCTTAACATTATTCTAAATATATTCTTAATGTTTGCAAAAAAAGTGTCTATTTTTATCGCTACATGATTAGGGAATAAAATATAGAATAACTATTTTTTTTATTTCAAAATTCAACGATAATAATGTAATAAATATTTAATAACAAATTTGGTAATTCACATTTATTGAGAAATGCGACCAAGTATTCGTGATAATGAATCGAGAGATTATTGAGCGATTGACGTGTCACTATAAGAAATATCACAATTATTCGGTTGACGAGTCACAACGACTTTTCTCGGAACGCTCGATCAGACGGTTTTGTTTTGAGATGACGGAACACAGTTCACGGACAAATCGTAACGTCGTGTCGAGATATCGGAGGAAGCTCTTGTCGGCCTGCAGGCCTTTCTCGTCTTTTCCTGACTACCGGCGACCTTAGCTCGGTGATGGATGAGAGGACACAGACTTTGCCGACAGCGCAATACCGTACAAACGTAAGAGGAGACATGGACGCAACACGTGCAATTCGAAATGTTATACGTTTCCGTGTATACGTTTCCACTACGCGATATTGCGATACCGAATTGAACGAGATAGCGGCAGGTAATACGTGAAAGGCCAGAAAGAAAGCAGTTTGTAAATACGCGCCAAGATAAGATTTCTTTGGAGCCTATCTCGGAAGAAAAAGTATCCCCTATCGCGATTGCCCCGAAAAACCTTTGGTGTAGCAGCGACATTCTGGTAATTCTGAGCTTTGCAAAAGAATATAGAGAAACAAAACTTAATCTTAACATATATATTACATATAATATTCATTACATTTTTATATAATATATGTATAAATAATGTAAGTATATATTACACAAAAGAACGACTTTGCTGAGGTATCTAAAAATTTATCTAGATACAAATTTGAATATGATTTTGTTAGATGGATCGGAGTAATTAATTATGTATAAGTATTACTCTTAAACTGATGACAATGCAGAAAGTTTTAATATTATGACGACTAGTTCGAGCGTTCCCTATAATTATTTTGATGCTACAAATAAAATTATTTTTAGATTAAGCGAAATTTGTGTATTGCTCTTTATTATGTATCTTGGAAGACTTCACACAGTATCGTTCACACAGCGCAAGAAAAACACTCACCCTCTCTCGCATTGATCATTCGCAAGTAAAATCAAACACCGGTTTTCGCCAGATTCCTTCGTGAATCTCGCAGACGCGAAATACTCCATCGGCCTCGTCTACGCCTGTTTATTCTCAATTTACCGCGCCGAGAGGTGGAAATCGTGGCACGAGTTTACCGTGCAATTTTCGATCCTTTTCTCCACCATCGTCTCGCCATCCGCCGCTGCCCCCTTCTTTCGCCCATCTACCCTCGTCGCAACAGCCTGCAGCAACACTCCCGTCCGTCACCCTCCATTATTTACCACTTCGAAACGTCGAAGATGCTTCTTTCCACTCCAGTGCTCGAAAAATTTCATCCACAGTCTCTCTAGTCTTGGCACAAGCGCCGAGTTCATGAAATTCGGCGACGATCCTAAATTGCTACGATGCGTTCGGAAATTCTTCGAATGTCCTGCAGATAATCCGCAATTCGCGCTGTAAATTGAATTGCAAATATCGTAGTGCAATCGATATATACATATAATTCACCGTAAAACGGAGCAAATAAAAGTTCTTCGTTAAATAAAGATACTTATATCTATTCAACAAAATTGTAGTCTCTTCTCTCTCTGCTACAAAGTTTCATTGAAATAATTCATAATAAAGAGATTACATCGAACTTAACTTAAAATCGCTTTATCTCATCCCCACGGTCTTTAACGTTACCCCAGTTGCCATTTTTCTACAGCAAACTATTCCATGAGTTTCTTCGAAAATCCCCACAATCTTCTTCCAGATATAACCCAGTAGTTCGGCATGATAAAGATCGCGAAAAAGCGAAGAAAGTATGCCGTCCCACGGAGCAACGAGCGCAACCTGCCATCTCCAAGCATAGAGGAGAGGAAAGACCGAGAGTTGCGAGAATGCGCGAGGAAAGCGGGGTGCACGCTTTGTCGCGCTGTCTCGCTCACATGTCGAAGTTATGAAAATTAATAAGAAAAATTGCCCATAAATTCGACGTCTCCTTCGCGAGCGCGCATCCCCCGTGCGGGCCCGGCAATAAAATTAGAATTATGTCGCAGCGGCTCGCGCGCCGTTCCCTCTTATCTGAGACGCCCCCCTTTTCCATGGCCAGACAACTTCGTACGGGGCAAGCACGCCGACAGTCGGGGGTTGATAGCGT